ATATATTGAAATTATCAATATATCCACAAACTGGCTCGAACATCATTGTTATATAAACAAAAGTCATTGTGCTATATTTTTTCTAGTTTAGGTAGGACTTACCAAATGTAGCTGAGTTCAAAGTGGTAGCTCCATCTGGGACATTTTTAGAACCAGTAACGATAGTTTTGTCAATGCCATCACCAACAAACATTAAGTTATTGAGTCCTTTTCCAATTTCAACATTTTCGCGGTATGTACCAGATTTGACATACACAACTGTTCTTTCTGGCCGTGTCATACTGGAGAGCGCAGCCACCGCATCGTTGATGGTCTTGTAATTGCCAGAACCATCTAGTGCAACTACTATATCAGGTTTGGATGTAGCTGCATTCCATGATGCCAAAAGCCCTTTGCCTTCTTTATTGGAGCTAATTGGTATTAGTTGTTCCCCCGTCACTAAAAGTACATGTATATGAATGAAGGGTTAGTTTTGTTAGCATTCTTCGGATTATTTATACTAGCACTTAGATGCTTGAGATAACAATTCCGGGATAAGTAATTCTCGAATAAAACAAGATAATGACACAATTACTCTAAAAAAAATTTTTTGGCCAAATTAGAAATTTGAGTAAGAGTGTGTAACTTTTCAAAGGTGTAAAAATTAAATATACATTCATAATAGCTCGTATTATCTAACTTCAGTAAATCATATAATTTTCCAATGAAACATGTATGCTGGACTTCGCTTCGCCGTGACAAGGCTAAATTGAAAATAAAAAAATTATTTCCCAATTTATAAACAAAAGACGTTTTATATTTATACCCATAGATTTCATTAAAAGATTATTTCCAATGAACCAAACATCATCCCAAGAATAAATAACATAAACTTGTCACTATTGAGTGTCATATTATGATTTATATTACCGTAAATCTACTCTATGCGTTTTCGAACAATTATATATGTAATTATGATGTAGACAACCAAATAGTATGAAATTTGGTGTATCGATTGATAAAAATTAAGTATTAAAAAATATTAAATAAAACAAATGTGGACCCACCCAAAAGGACCATTAAAAGGGAAAAGTAAAATTAATACTAGTAACTTATATAATAAGGTAAATATCTTTTCACATCAGCTTAAATTATATTCTATTGCTCTCAAAATATTTGTCATGTTACACTTATCGAGAGTCAATTTATATAAATTTTATATATGAAAAATTATAAAATATAATACTTTTCATATATTTTTCGAATATCTAAGATATTAATTTTAAAATATTAAATTAACTTAAAAATTAATTTATTTGTCACGTTACATTTATCAAGAGTTAAATTATATAAGTTTTGTATAAGAAAAATTATAACATATAATACTTTTCGCATAATTTTTAAATATCTAAAATACTAATTTTAAAATATTAAATTAACTTTAAAAATTAATTAAATTGTGACTCAAAATATAAAGAGACGAACCACAATAAACATTACGTCATACTATTAATTAATGCATATAAGTTAAAATTCTATCATGCATCATTTATATGTTAAAATTCTATTATGCATTATTTTGAGCTAATTTTATCACCTATTAAGAATTATCGTAAAGTGATAAGTATGAAAATAAAAAAATGAAACTCACCCGTTCTTGTGTGAGTCGATAGTTGTCGATAATGAAACAATGCATCCTTAAGCAACAAAGTCAAGTTTTGAGTTTCTTCATTTCTACTTACAAAATATATGGACCATCAACATTATAATTGATGGAGACTTTATTTATATTTACAAGTAACTCCACAAAAAACATATTGAGGTCAAGCCAAGAGACAAGAGGGAGTTGCTCGGGTGGTACCCTTCACTTTCAACTCGAAAGTTACGAGTTCGAATCACCAAGGAAGCAAAAGGGGTGGGAGCTGTTAGGGAAAGGGAAAACTTATAAAAAAGGTCAAGCCAAGAATTTTAGGAAATTATGTCAAATGATCTTTAAGATAGATGGTCTTGAATTTTTTACCCTCATATCATACTTTTGAAGGTGAAAGTAAAAATTTGTTGACCCTCTTATCCAATTTTCTATATTAATAGGAGAATGGCTGACCTCATAAAAAATAACAAGAAATTGATGTCCAAACAGATACTTATAGTTTATAGATAATCCAAAACTTTATTGAAGGATTTTATGAATAAAACTAATTATGAAGAAGCTCCAAGGAAAAAGCTCTACGTTCATGAACCAAAATCCATGTGATGTCCCTTTGACCCTTTCCCAAACAAATTTTAAGATTGTTTTTTTTTGGATTTTTTCCAATTAAAGCAGTCACTTGGAAGCTTGTAAATAACTACTACCACTTGGAAGTTTTGAGGTCACGTTGAGTTGAAATTTTTGTTATGATTTATGACTTGAAAACTTGTAACCACTAGCACTTTTTTTTTTTAATTTTCCATCGATCAGTATCCACATTGAAATCCAACTATTTTATATCCACACTGGAATTCAACTATTTCAAATCCGTATGACACGGACTATGTCATATAAGGCCCTATTGGAAAGAAAGCTCTCCCTATCAAAGATTTTTCATTACCCATTTGACACTGAATTCCATTTTTCACTTATAGGATACTAGTCTGTTTCTACAACTTCTATTTAGGTTGTTTTGTGCTTATTCACTTCTTTAGATTTCTCCTTAAGAATAGATTGTAATTTTATATTAAAACTATGAGAGTCATGTAATTTGCACATTATTCTATGCCAAAATTTTCGAATTGAAACTCATAACACACACAAATTGTTCTCAAGCCCAGTCCTCCTGCATTCGATCCAGTGGGTATAACCAAGGGGAACTAAAGATTACTTGAATAATTTTAAATAATATTACAATAAAAGATTAGTTGAATATTTTTAAAAATATTACTACGTATGAAAAAAAAATATTTATAAAAATAAGAACTGGTATACCTTTGGCTTTGAGGTAAACAGTTCTCATTTTGTACATTGAAATATACAACACTGTGATTCAACTGTTATCTCGTACAATAATTATGTAGTGTAATATTTGGCATCATATTAATGAATGGTATTAGATGGTGACATACCTACACCTTTCTGGCTGCTATTTTTTTCAACATCCTCAAACAATACGTGTTATCGATAAGAGTCTCTTACACAATACGTGTAAGTTCAATTCTCACTACAAATATTTGCGAAAAAATAAAAAATTGCCAACGGATATACTTGATCTAATGCAAACTATGCAAGTACATCTTGATGATAAAGCTGCGGGAATCACTTTAACAGAAACAAGTTGATTACTTTTTCTTTTGAAAAAAAATATGTGATGTTGTCATATATTTGGTTCATTCATTTTCTGGCAAGGACTGAACAGAAAAGTGATAATTTGGACTATTGTGACTTGTGAGATTGAAAGATTACATAATAAGGGTGTGTTTCGAACGGAAGAAAATATTTTTTAATTTATTTGTTTCTGATTAATTTAAAATTATATAGAATATTTTCTCTGGTATCTTAAAAATGAGATAAATTCCGACAAGAAAAACAAGTTCCACAAATAACAACTTACATTAATTATTTCCCACATCACCCTTAAATATACCTACCACCCTCTATAGTCCCATCTCCATCACTTCAATTTTTTTTCAAAAAAAAAAACTATTTTCTAACTGAAAAATGTTCCGTAAGTTTTTCATAGACATTTCGATTGAATCTATGAAAAACAAAAAAAAAATATTCTTCATATAGAGAAATTAAAATGTTTCCCACTATTTCAATGAGAATCATGTATTTTTTCCCGTGAATTGATTTGGTAGAAAATGAGTGAAAAATTATGATCTATGGGAACTTTAAAAATTTGAACCATATCCTTTTTTGCCCTTTAAAACAATCCTGGCGGGATAGAAGAAGACATTTCATCTTGACTTGTAAAACACGACTCCATTATAAAGCTCTACATGCAAAAGAATTCACCTATCTTTTTGCTAGTTCTTACTTGCATATTTACGCATTGAAATTTGTGAAACTCATCTCTTTAAGTTGAAAGTGTGTCTAATTCTAATTAAAATTCTTAGAGGCTACTTGACCATAAACTTAGCTTATGCTTACATAAAGAGTATTAAATTCCTTTAAAGAGACCTCTCTAATATTCCGCAAAAATTCATGAAATATTCATATAAAGATCAAATCTAAATCATCCTAGTTTGGAAAATACGTCACTGACGGTCCTGAAATCGTGGATTAATAAATCTTATGAGAGAAGAGTTAAGGAACCCTCGAATCATCGATAAACAAATCTCATGAGAGAAATATCACGGGAGGGGACAGATTGCACCCACAATATTTATCAATAAGTTATGTTTCTTCATATTTTATTAGTGATTGCAATTTATTTTATTCATTTTATGTTATCTTAAAAAAAATTGCAAACTAAATCAGCAAATCTGAAGTCACAAAACCGCAAAGGTGGAAGAATGAGTAATTCAAGTCTAGTCTTAGAATTTCATCAAGTCTACACTCCGACAAGCCTTGAAACCAGGGCATTTATAGACATTGAAATTTTGTTGAATTCTACAAGATGTGTTCAATTCGAGTTGGAACTCTACAAAGTGTGTTTAATTCCAATTGGATTTTTTTAAGGCTACTTAATCCTAAATTCTATTTCATGCTTACATAAAGGAGATAACTAAAGGCATCTCGAATATTCCACAAATTCATAAAATATTTATATAAAGATAAAATCTAAATCATTCTAGTTGAGGAAATACGCCACTAACGACCCTCGAATCATGAATAAATATTTTCTTGCTTTAAAATTAATTGCCAACAATATTACTACGATTTTTCATCATGTATGTAGTCCATGTATTTTCATTTATTCTTGTTTTCTTAACTTTTTAGCCAACAAAAACAAAAGAAAAATATTATATCTTAGTTCACTTGCCATTAGACCTCATTTCATAAATTTTAACTCTTCTAGCAAACAGACAATTTTTCTCTCATAAAAATAAATTTTTTGAATGCGTCTTTATCAAAATATCTAACTATAATATAAAATAGCAGTCCCGCTTACATCGGCAATAAAGAAAATACCAATCTTAATGGTGCTTGTGATCTGGATAACTATACTCATTCATGGCGCGTGGGACACACCCACCTAAAATGAATCTAACCAGTGTTGTATATACTCTATAGTATTCGACTTTTTTGATATTCTATTCTTTTTTTTCCCCTACATTCTGGATCAACTTGTAAAAATCATCTAAGATTTTCCTGCCTTCAAATATAACAATAGTAGTACTATACAATAATTCATTTATTATGAGCATACAATAATAATGTTCGTGAGTCATACTTTTCATTGCTTATAGTCATGGTATATCACATTCCTACACATTATTCATTGTATATAACAAAATAAGTAACTTTATTATATCTTCATATTTTTCTGTTATATAAATAGTGTGTCAAGTCATATTTGAATACCACAAAACAAAATGGATAAGAAGAGCTCTTCACCAAATAATTCATTTACAAGTGCCATGACACTTACTGAAGAGGGACTAACCTGCATTCCCAAGCGTTACATTCTTCCACCATCCCTACGCCCCAACGGAACCTTGCCCAACACATGCTTGCCAATTGTGGATCTATCATTACTGCAATACCCTCTTCTTCGGCCACAGATAATCCAGCAACTACACCTGGCCTGCAAGGAACTAGGTTTTTTCCAGGTACGTACGTACTTCTTGTCATGTCACAAAAGCAAATCATGTACCAGAATAATATGTTTTTACCATAATTTGGTATATTATATGTGCATTAAGTTTCTCTATGCTGATAGGATCTAAGAGATAACAACATGCACTCGCCAAGTAAATTAAAAAAGTGTTCTAGGCTTTATCTCCTACTCTCTTCCCTTCATTTTCAGTTGATGACGTCCTAGATTTCATATACTTAGCAGTTTAAAAGGAAATAGAATAAGAAATTCTTCACTAATTCAAACTGAACGTAAAATAACAGCATGCATGCAATAAATGACTTTGCAGGTAGTCAACCATGGAATCCCATTATCAGTCATGAAAGATGCATTGGATAATGCAAATGAGTTCTTTGATTTACCATATGAAGAGAAAATGCATCTCTTGTCTTCAAATGTTCATGACCCCGTAAGGTATAGTACCAGTCTAAATGATGTCAAAGACAAAGTATACTTTTGGAGAGACTTCCTCAAGCACTATGCTAATCCAATCTCAAATTGGATAGATTTGTGGCCATCAAATCCCACATGTTACAAGTAAGTCTTGTATTCTTTAACGAATATGTTTATCTCTGAAATATTTCTGATATACATACATTCTCAACGTTCAAGAAGAATATGATATCAAAAGCCTAAAGCAGCGCATCATGCAGGGAGAAAATGGGAAATTACACAAAGGCAATACAAAAGTTGCAGGAAGAACTCATGGAAGTAATATTTGAGAGCTTAGAACTAAACCCCAAATACTTACATGAAGACATTGCAGAAGGCTCCCAGGTCATAGCCGTTAATTGCTATCCAACATGTCCTGAGCCGGATCTTGCACTAGGCTTGCCACCACACACAGATTATTCTTTGATATCCATTATTCTTCAAAACCATCAGGGCTTGCAAATCATGGATCGAAATGAAAAGTGGTATTCAGTTCCAGTCATTGAAGGAGGCCTCATTGTTCTCGTGGGAGATCACATGGAAGTATTGAGCAATGGTCGATACAAAGGTGTTGTCCACCGAGCAACAGTTAACTCAGAGAAAAAGCGCCTTTCCATTGCCAGCCTTCACAGTCTAGCTTTAGGTAAAAAAGTTAGACCTGTCCCAGCGCTTGTCGATGAACAACATACCTTGTCCTATAAAGAAGGAGGATTCAGTGATTTCCTTGACTTCATTTCTGGAGAAGATATTGTGAAGGTAAAGTACATCGATAAATTAAAAATAAATCCATGATGATTATGTATAGTCCATGGACAGCAGGCCATACAAGAATTCTCCTTGTTACAGTCTTCAAACTCCATTTCGTACAAGATAATCTTTGTTAAAATCCTAAGGTGTATAAGCAGTACCCATCTTTCCTACGTACTTTGTGCTAATATATAGGGGTGGCTGTTTGGTTCTTCGGTTTTTTGTTCTTCACTGGTGCATGAATACCGAACAGAACTAGTTTGGTTCAGTTTTTTCTAATTCAGTTCGGTTCTTTCGTATGCGACCGATAAGTACTTACCCTAAAACCAAGGTCACTAAATCTTGAGTTGAAGAGAGCCCACCATAAACGGAGGTAGATTGTATAGGAACTGGGCTAGAGATGGTGTGTGCAGCATCACTTATGTACACCCATTGATATTGTCTTGTAAAGGAATTGTTCTTTATTCCCTGCATTCACTCTTCAACTTGCAGTTTACAACTTTTGCTCTTCTTGTTCTTTATTGTTTCTATTTTTATGAATGAGATTGAATGTATCAACAACTCCTGTTCAAAGTTTCCCTTCAATAGTTAAAATACTCTGTTCTTAAATACATGTCACTCGAGCAATCACTGATATATTCGGATTTGGATTCGAAATTTCATTTGAGGGAAGAAAAAAATCTTAAGTGAGCTTGTTGCCTTGTACTAAATATCATCAAACTGTTGATAAACAGGGAACACACAAGTATAATTCAGGGAATATATGCCTAGAAATCTGGTTCTCTGAAAGGTCACTGCAGCATTCTACACTGAAGCTCCACAAAATTTTGGTTCTTCATGAAGGACCCTAAAACCGAGAACCAAACCCAACACCGAAGTCCTAAAAAATTAATAACGAAACCGAAGAACCATAGTAATTCTTTGGTTCGGTTCAGTTTGGTTCAGTCAAGTTTTTGCCTACCCCTACTACTAATATCGCTTGTGAGAGGCTCTCCTTTCATCATGCTAGGAGGTTTTACTGTGAAAATAAGGATTTAAGGATTCTTAATTTTTGCATCTTGGTACAGCAGGATTTGAACATGCGACCATTAGGACGCATCATCAGGACTGTGAAAAAGCCCAATGTTTTACCAACTGAGCTACTAATTAACAAAATTAAGACACGTCATCGAGATCTTCAGTAAATCCAGTGATTTACCTCAGTTAGCTAACATCATAGACTTCAGCAGATAGCAGCCAGCAACTGGAAAACTCAAATAATTTCCAAATTGGAATTATCTTCTAACATCCACCACATCTGGTCCAGTTTAAGCCAAATGTAGTTTATACCACAAGTTTAGAACTTGAGCCACATTCATCACTGATAGACACAATTATGGGGAGCATGTGCTCTCAGCCTGTCACACATGGTAACATTTCGATGGTAAATTGATACAAGAATTAGTTTGAGGCTTTGAACTAATTAGACCTGCAAAGAACATTATAATGATTTATAACCACAACCATATACATGACAAATCACCTTCCAACAATACATTTTGTAAATATAGCACAGAAGTAGCTTGCATAACAACAGTTTTGATATTAATATTCTCGTTTTTTAACATTATTTCATGTTTTCTGTTGAGAAGTTTTCTTTGTAAGCTAACAGGGAAGTATGCCTTCAAACTCAAGTTCCATGACTGAAGTAATGCTCACATATGATTTTTCAATATGTTCAGACATCCATGCTGTTTTCCCCCAACACCGTCCACTCAGCTCAAACCTCCTTCAAACTAACTTAAAATTGTTGCAAGTCAAGGAATAAATTTTCAGGCACATACATATGAATTTCTTTAGCTTAATAGGTTATTTTGATAAAAACTGAATCGAATTACACAATCAGAATTGAATTATAGAAGAAGAATGAATCTGAATTTCATATCAATCACACTCACTTTACATTGTATTTCTCTGTACATATATATACATGTACTAAGTGACTTATTTACAAGAAAACCATCTTCTAGAATCTTCTTAATATCCTAACTAACTATCATATCAACTTAACTAACTATCAACTAACTATCACATGTAAACTAATCAAGTTAATTATTTACAATCTCTTTGTTATAATCTCTAATATATTTTACATAGTATTTACAACTTAACAAACTTGCGATGTATTCCACTTCCAAACGGTTATCTCCATGCATGACCAGAATCAATTGTTAATATTTCTCTATGTGAACACATGCACTTTGTTTATCTTAATTGTTTGTATTTACTTCCAATTGACTCCTTATATCAGCACATGACATTTAAGATCTGCTGATAGTTAGTTCATAATCCAAGCTCATAATGGACTGTTATCAATGTAGAGTGATAGATCATCTCCTTAGAAAATAAGCACGACATATCCTCATATCTCGTAATAAAAAGCATCATATTTACCCTCATATTTTAATCTAAAGAGGGCAAGATTTCTGTTTTCTCCCGTTCAGATAGGTGTGGAGATCAAATTTTCCTACTTTTTGACTCAATTAGACAACTCTCCAATTATATGAACAACATCATTGTTTGATCACAATTCACAACTACCCTTATTTGTCCGGTGTTAAGAGACTTTCGAAGGAGGATAATGGATAATAGTTAAAATCCAAAGACGTTCGATAATTCGACCAACAAAAAGCAGCACATTGATCGTATTTCAACTTTCAAATAAGTGAAGTATTCATTTTCCTCCTTGATAATTGATATAACTAAGAATTTTCTAATTTCTTCAGCTATTAACACCATATTTCTCAGAAACTCAGTTTATGATGATATTTTAAGTGTATTAAACAGAATTATCCCAACATATATTCAGTACTATAACAAAAATCAGCTACTTGAAGTTACAAAAATTATTGCTCGATTTCTTTCCCTTTTGATAATCAAATCTTCTCAAATAATATGAACAAAAACAAAAGAATAATTGCATATATAAATGAATCTCACTACAATTAGTACATTACACGGATAAGAAATCATCGGAAGTACATAAACTCTCCACTGTTTGAGGGGGAAAAAAACCGCGGGAAAAGCACTTACGAAAATCGATTCAAAAAATTAGACGTCACTCTCTTCCTTCCTTGCGTCTCTGATATTTCTCTGTCTCCGCCGGCCACCGCTAAGCCCTCTTCTCCGAAGTTCCTTCCTAACGTTTCTGATTATTTTCAACTGAAGGTGGTTTTCAGGGGAGGGGTGGGGTTAGTTCCCTGCGCCGCGGGTTTACTGTATGCCCTTTTCATTTCAGTCTCTTAGTTAGCCACGTGGATGATGTCTGTATCATACGGCTCACAATTTGATGGAAACTCGAAAGTATAAAAACGACCGAAGACCAATTAAGAGTCAAACAGTTTAATTTTGACCGGACATTTACGTATAAAATTTTTAAATTTTTTAAAATAAAATTTACATATTTATAAATTATGTAAAGAATGTTATAAATTATAATAATTGATAATTTAAAATGTTAAAAGAATTTATCAAAAACTTAAAATTAAAAATAAATTTATTTGAATTCAAAATATAAAAAATTTCGCATTAAATGATACGAAGAAAGTATGACATATAAAAATAGTTAATCATTAAAAACTATTGTATTGCTCGATGATAGGTGATATTTTTTATAACTGTAAGACGATTTAAATTAAAATTATAAGAATATAGTTAACACAAAGAAAGTTATTAAAACAATTATAGTGAATATGTTATAGTCTTGTAGAGAAGGTTTCTTCTTTTCTTTTTTTTTTTCTAATGGTTGGAGCGATATTTGAATTCCGATTAAAGTTCAATTATGCATTATAGCATCTATTTAAAGTGATATTTTTAATATAATTTGTTCATATTTAAAATTCGAACATGCTTAAAAATAAAGTAGTGTTACCACTGTACTAGGAGGGAAGCTTTTTGTAGAGTGAGCTGGAGACCGTAGGATTGACACTTGGATCTAAAATAGATAGTTCATATTAGGGTGTACAAAAATCAAATCAAAAATCGAATTAAACTGGAAAAAAATTCGATTAATGATTTGGTTTGATTTGGTTTGGTGTTGGAAAAAAAAATCAATTATATTTGGGTTAGTTTGATTTCAAGTAAAAAAAATCAATCCGAGACCAAATCAACCCACATTATATATATAATTTTAAAATTTTATTTTATACGTAAAAATATTTATTTTGATATAATTTTTAAAATATCTCTTATACTTTTTCATAGTTTTATCTTTTAATATATTTATTTCATGTTTGGAAGTTATAATTCTTAATAATCTAATAAAGATTATAGTCCATAGTTGGTAATTATAACAAAGTTTAAATAAAAATCAATTTAATACTAATGCAAAAGAAAATCAATTCAATGCTAAGAATGACAATAATATTGGATATTTGTTTTTTAGTTTTATATAGATTTAGACAATTAAAATACATGATATAATTTTTCTTCTTTAAATACATGATATAATTTTTCTTCTTTTAATATTTAGTCATGTAACAAATAGTTACTAAACTTATTTTAACATGATTTAGTACCATAAATAATGATCAATTTCATTATGACTTATTAGTTTGCAATATTTTTTTATGCGATTTTATTATAATTTTTTGTTGGATATTTTAGTGTCATTAATCCTATCATATTTTTTGTTATTTTCTTGAGAAATAACTTGGATAGTTGCATTTTGGTAGGACTAAAGAAATTTTTAAAGTACAAGTAAATTCTACATTTGTATGAAGACTTTATCGAAAAAATCCAAAATTTCAAAAAAAAATCCGAAAAATCCAAAGAAATTCGAAGTTGAAAACCTTGAGTTTTATTGATTTGATTTATTTATAAATTTAAAAATCTGACACAAATAATTTGATTTGATATTTAAAAAACTCCAACCAACGTGTTCACGTACACCCTAGTTCATATGCTTATCCTGAAAACTGCCAAATTCAATATACACAAGAATATTCATAATATACCATGTGAATATTCACATGTGTCTATATCATTCATAAAATAATGTACCACTAACTTCCAAATATACACAAGAATATTCACTTATGTCCAATAATAATTTATTTAATGTGAATCACTAGTTAAAACATATATCATATGATTAACATATAAAATACATATAGAAACATAACAAAAAATGTATGTTATTAATTATGGGTTGTTTGGTCAGGAAGAAAGATAATAATTACGTATTAGAATTAGCATAACTTTTATGAATTGAGAGGAAAAATCAGTAAATTGGGATATATTTCACTCGAACTGTTATAATTGTAAATAAATATTTTATTTTTAAAACTTATATGAATTTCTAATACAATAAATCAATCCTAAAAAATAATATGTGTAGTGTAATTTTTGCATAACTGGTTTTTATATTATTTATTTTTACATTATTAATTTATACATAACTTTAATTAGCTATCAAAAACAAATATATGTAAACTCTACACAATTAGTCTCCACATAACTTTTACCAACATTCACCTAATTACAATTTTCAATTTATTTATATTAACAATTGTTTTTTAAAAAAAGAACACATCTAACTTAATATGAAATAAGTTTATGTTTCAAAAGATCCTTGTAAGAAGGCCTTATGTAATACAAAATAATTAAATTGATCAGCAAGGCAATTATCGAACATTAAATGATAAACAAAAGAAAATATATATTAATTTTATTACTTATTCTCTACATATTTATTCATATTCGAAGAGAAATGGGAAAAATGTGCAAATTTTCTTGCTGGTAAAATTTATTAGCCATGAAGAAGATTTAATAGGATGAAAAAATGCAATTAATGAAATGAAGTTTTTGCTTCTAGCTGATTCAAGTAGTTTAAGATTTGTCTAACATAGAAAAATCTATTTATTTCAAAATCATTGCAAATTTAAAAATATGTTTAAATTGAAACAAAAGTCATGATTAATTAAACAAAATATTTGGATAACAAAATATACATGCAAATGAAAAATGTAATTAATAAACATGTGTAATTGGCAGCCTTTATTATTGCTAATAATCTAATAAGTCAAAATCAAAAAGAAATTAAGGGAACAATACAGTGAAAGTAAACGGAACTCAATGAACGGTTAATATGGAAGACAAAAAAAAAAAATTTTCTACCTTCGTGAATTGAGAGGATGAATACAAGGGAATCCATTCATTAATTATTTCTTCGATCAGATTCCATTTGTACACTTACACTTAAAAAATATGAGTTCAAGATTAGACTTTGAAAAAAGATGTTTTGGCATCAATAAATTAAACTTTAAGTACAAAGATAATTTTTTTAGAAACACAGCAACATTAAGTTATTAGCATGAAATTAAATAGTAAGAAATAGAAAACTATATAAGTTGTAAATATATTGCATGATTTTGTTATACTCTATAAAGATAAATCCTGCATGCAAACGTACCATCTTTTGCAGAATTTATCAACTTTGATATGCTGCTAAATATTACCAAGAATATTATACTTTGATTTATTTAATTTTCTGCTATATAGTCCTAATTAATCGGACCATCACAAAGAAATTTATATAGGCTTATGGTACGTTCTACTTGGGCCTGGGCCCCCATCAAAAGTACAACCCCCCTACCCCACCAAAAAAAATACACACACAATGACTCATTTTATTCTCTAGGTATCAACAGAGTCAAATATAAAAAAAAAATATACTCCTCTATCTCATTTTACGTGACATCATTTTTTTATCAGTTCCAAAAAAATGTCATATTTATTTATATGGTAAGTATTTAAAGGTAAAATTTCTTTTTTATTATTTTTGGTCTCACTTAATTAAATTATACTACTCTAATACATTTATGAGGAGAGAAAAAAGTAAATTTTATTTTTTTAAGGGTAATTTGATAAATATTTTAAAGTTTTCTTTATTTCTTAAATTCCATATCCAGTCGAATATTGTCACAAAAAATAAGACAAAAGAAATATTATTTTTGAAACGTATTAAAAAAGAAAAATTAAAGAGAGCAAGGGTTCATATGTACCACACCACGTGTGCTTACGAAAGAAAGAGTTTGAAATTATTGGGTACAACTTGTAGCTTGCTAGCTAGATTCATGCATGATATTTGAATATAATGTTCTTTAGTGCGTCATTAAATTAAAAACTAAAGGGGTATACGACTATTCATTGTATTATTATACTTTTTCAACAAAATTTAAAACCAGCAGATTTTACAAAAACAAAAACAGCTGCCTGCATATTGTGGTTTATTAGATTTCAGGTTGCAATTTGGTCATATATGGACAAGAATATAACTTTATAGGATTACCATGCATATAAATTAGAAGTATTTAATAGATATTAAAAAAATTTATCTGGAGTGTGTTCTTTTGCTATTAATAACGATTTTGTTATGTCTAGCTAGCTCACATACAACTTGGTCACGTGGGAGACAACAAGATATATACATACCCATAAATTGGAGTTTCGAGCCTAAAAGGTAAAAAATATTGATAAAAATTTCAAAAGAGTAAATGAAAAAACTTTTAAACCAAAACGATAAAATCGCTGTGATGTAGCGATTTAGGTGGTGTTGTTAAGGTAAATCACTACAGTAACAACGATTTGTAAAATTTATTTTTTAAATTTTTTTGAACAAATCATCACTGTCAAGGCAGCAATTTGATAAATAATTTTTTAAAAAAATTATAAATCACTGTCTGTACAATAATTTTACTTTCATCCTTTTAAATATTTTATTAATATTTTTTACCTATTAGGCTTGAGACTCCTATAAATAGGAAAAAGGAAAGTAACTTCTTGTTGCCATCGTACATAACTTTTAGCTTTAATTAGGGAGTCAAGGTGCACTTATGGGGATAGCCACAGCTACCCGGGATGTTTAGTTGAATATTTTTTATTAAAAATTTATGTTATAAATATATGTAAAAATTTATAATTAGATATCTTAGACGAAAGTAATGTTTTTAGTGCAGTGATAATGAGTATTCATTTGAATAAATAAGTTTCAATTTTAAATTTTAAATATCACAATATTTGATAGTCACACGTCATTATTCTTAAACACGATTTTGTCCCGCCCTATTCACATTTTATAAGTTATATTCGACCCTGCCCCGCCCTATTAATTAACATTTCTAATTAATTATCGTGAACTGCATCTCAATTTCTTTAATTAAGTAGGTTATTAACAAAGAATTAATTTCTTATGGCACTAAACGATTATAAATTATCATCACAATCGGAATTAGTAGTGTTATTAAGGTTTTTTTCAGCAATTGAAGCCGTATTTCTCAGAAATTCAGCTTATGGCACAATTTTAAGTATTTAACTACTGTTAAATATTTCCTTTCTCCG